GCTCCAAACACCTATAAAAGAGAAATGATCAGGTATATTGAATCCTTCAAAAAATACTCAAAAAATGATTAAGAATAACAAGGTAAACAGATGAACTATGCTTAACCCTTTCACTGTCCATCATATAATTTATGTTATTGATGCCAGGGTTCCTCACATAGATCTATGCCTTGAGCTCAGCTCACTCTGATAAGCCGAGAGTGGTAAATTTTGGCCTAGGTAGTGGGTCTGTGTGACAAGGGGTAAAAGAAGGTTCGAGTTTTCGGGGCTTGAGCATCCAACAGGCTTGTGTGAGCTTGTTAGATATGAGTGAATGGAAACAAGTGGGTTCTAATAGACGTGCTGCTGAAGTGTGAGAAAGGCAACGTTTATGAAGGGATTTGGGGAAACTTGTTAGCCAGACTTGAGTTCTGGAGATGGGAAGGGCAGTACCTGCACTTTGAAGGAGTGAGGATGCAGCAGATAGAGGATAATCTGAATTGAGATGTCAGCACACTTCTGGCAACAACAATGGAATAAGTTATGGACGATATTATTTCTTCTTTGGGTCACTTTGCCTTGGCAAGAGATGGCCATTAAAGAATAAAAAAAAAAGCTTGTTGAATGGCCTAGGCAGTTCACTCAATATAAATAAATGTGAATATTAAAATGGTATAAAATACCAACATGTTGTTATGTAAGACACATTTGCAACAGCTAGATATCTTTACTTTGAAATGTTTCGCCTACACAGTAGGCTTCTTCAGACTTCTACCAACTTTTCTGTGCTCGACTGAAGAAGCCTACTGTGTAGGCGAGACGTTTTGAAATAAAGATACCTAACTGTTGCATATGTGTCTTACCTAACATCCAAAAAGCTTTAACACTAAGGTGAACATACAAAGTCAATAAGAGTTCAGTACGTCCAGGAATTTTAACTAGTAAACTAATATTTTATATATAAAAAAAATTCTGTGTCTAAGCAAACTATTATTATTACAATCAAAACTAAGCATTAAACCCACAAGAGTCATACAGCATGTCTAAGCAAAACAGGTTACATATACAGCCTCTCCTCACTTAGTGACATACTCGTTTACCAACTACTCGAACTTATGACGGGTCTCTGACCAGTATGCATACCTAAATAATGTATATTAGAGCTGATTTCCTCTATTCTGTTTATTACAATATACATACACCGCTGTATATTGTAACATATTAAAATGTTATAAATGGTGCAAAGGTGACATTAAAACAATATCAAAGATGGTTGACACAAACCCACTACCATTATAATATGCTCCTTGCTTAGCAACGAATCTGATTTACCGATGTGATCTTAAGAATGGAACTCCGCTGTTAAGTGAGGAGAGGCTGTATCTATAATCGTTTTGTCATAAATTTACACCAGTGTTCTAACTGTCTCCTGTAAAGTGTTATATAAATATACAGTGGAACCTCTACTTGCGAGTTTAATCCGTTCCATGACTTTGCTCGCAACTGCATTTGCTCGTTTGCATAGTCAATTTTCCTCATTTAAATAAATTGAAATGCAATTAATCCGTTCCAGTGGAATTCTGTACTTCAATAATTTCGTTAATATCAACTCTACGGCTTATTTATCTATCTCACTTCATCTAATATGACATAATAAACAATATAAGTAACATAGAAACCTGATATATACTCTAAAATGAATAAAATATGTCATTCATGTAGTGGTATGGGCGGTGTCGGCGGTGGAGGAGAGTTTGTCTGGAGACCGGGCAAAATTCTTCATGAATAATTTCGCTAATATCATCTATACGGCTTATTTATCTATCACAGTTCATCTAGTATGACATAACAGACAATATAAATAACATAGAAACATGATATATACTCGAGAATTAATAAAATATGTCATGTAACAGGTGGAGGCAGCCACAACCGCTCCCTCTTTGTTGTGGTAAACACTGCCATCTAGTGATGGCCTTTTGAAGCCATCTATTATTATAATTATTATATGTAGTACATTATTATTATTTTTTTTTTTTTCAACAAGTCGGCCGTCTCCCACCAAGGCAGGGTGACCCAAAAAAGAAAGAAAATCCCCAAAAAGAAAATACTTTCATCATCATTCAACACTTTCACCACACTCACACATTATCACTGTTTTTGCAGAGGTGCTCAGAATACAACAGTTTAGAAGCATATACGTATAAAGACACACAACATATCCCTCCAAACTGCCAATATCCCAAACCCCTCCTTTAAAGTGCAGGCATTGTACTTCCCATTTCCAGGACTCAAGTCCGACTATATGAAAACAACCGGTTTCCCTGAATCCCTTCACTAAATATTACCCTGCTCACACTCCAACAGATCGTCAGGTCCCAAGTATCATTCGTCTCCATTCACTCCTATCTAACACGCTCATGCACGCTTGCTGGAAGTCCAAGCCCCTCGCCCACAAAACCTCCTTTACCCCCTCTTTCCAACCCCTTCAAGGACGACCCCTACCCCTCCTTCCTTCCCCTATAGATTTATATGCTTTCCATGTCATTCTACTTTGATCCATTCTCTCTAAATGACCAAACCACCTCAAAAACCCCTCTTCTGCCCTCTGACTAATGCTTTTATTAACTCCACACCTTCTCCTAATTTCCACACTCCGAATTTTCTGCATAATATTTACACCACACATTGCCCTTAGACAGGACATCTCCACTGCCTCCAACCGTCTCCTCGCTGCTGCATTTACCACCCAAGCTTCACATCCATATAAGAGTGTTGGTACTACTATACTTTCATACATTCCCTTCTTTGCCTCCATAGATAACGTTTTTTGACTCCACATATACCTCAACGCACCACTCACCTTTTTTCCCTCATCAATTCTATGATTAACCTCATCCTTCATAAATCCATCCGCCGACACGTCAACTCCCAAGTACAGTGGACCCCCGCATACCGCACGCATCGCATACCGTACAATCCGCATACCGCTCGCTTTTTTCGCAAAAATTTTGCCTCGCATACCACCCAAAAACCCGCTCACCGCCCTTCGTCCGAGACGCGTCCAATGTGTGGCCTGAGCCACGCTCACAAGTTCCGCCGGTGGCATTGTTTACCAGCCAGCCTCCGCGGTAACATCCAAGCATACAATTGGAACATTTCGTATTATTACAGTGTTTTTGGTGATTTTTTCTGGAAAATAAGTGACCATGGGCCCCAAGAAAGCTTCTAGTGCCAACCCTACAGCAATAAGGGTGAGAATTACTATAGAGATGAAGAAAAAGATCATTGTTAACCCTTTGAGGGTCGACAGGCCCTCTCCGAAACTCGTTCTCAGGGTCGGCCAAATTTCAAAAAAAAAAAAAATTATTTTTTCTTATGAAAAAATAGAGTTTTTTTTTCTAAACATTATAGGATAAACAAAAAATTTTTACCATCAATACTTACGGAGATATGGATGCATGAAGTTTGCAGAAAATGAGCCGCGTATGGCAACAGCGGCGACTGCCGCTCACCCGGTAAACTTTGATTTACTTGTATTTGAAGGTTTGTTGTTTTTTTCACTATTTTATTTTTTCACATAACTTATGTGGCCTATGAGACCAAAGTAAGGTGCAATGTACATATATACACTCGTTGTATACAACACAATAAGCACACAAACATAATTATCAATATATTGTTTACAAAACTTGTTTACAAAAACAAACAATACAAAACATTGTTTATTATTATTGTTCTATAATATATATACCAATATACAGTCACTGAACATATTCCTATTAGTTCTGCAGCTTGTGGAACTCTGAAACATGGTGTCATACACAATGGTGTTTTATCTTTCTCCCTCATTCTATCTCTTTCAATCTGTCTCTCTCTTTCTATCTGTCTGTCTATCTCTGTCTCACAGGTACACATAAATACAAGTATACATAGTATAAATTACCTAGGATAACCCAAGAAATCCAGACAAAGTGCTATACTCTGCTTGAAGATGTGAGTAAAAGTGATGACACAGTCTTGTGGCTCTCTGAGACAGAGAGCTAGACGGATAGACAGATAGACAGGGAGCTTGACAGACAGACAAATAGACAGACAGAAATGTTAGTGTACCAGTACCAGTGTACTAGTGTTCCACCCTCCTCCTCCTCTTCTTCCTCTTCCTCCTCTTCCCCCTACTCTTCCTCCTCTTCCCCCTACTCTTCCTCATACTCTTCCTCTTCCTCTTCCTCCTACTCTTCCTCTTCCTCCTCCTCCTCTTGCCTCCTCCTCCTCTTGCCTCCTCCTCCTCTGCCTCCTCCTCCTCTGCCTCCTCCTCCTCCTCCATTCTTGGAACAAGTTTGAAGAGCTTGTAGTTCATAATCACTATCATTATCATCACCAATGCTCACATCTGAGTCTGGGATTTTGGAAAATAGGAGTTTCCTCTTTGATTCTGGTACAACTGAACGACGGCCCAGCACCAGAGGTGGAAGGCTGTGGGTTGTCTGGGTTTTCCTCACTATTACCCATATTATGGTCATTAGTTTCGGTCAAAACCTCACCAGAACCTTGAAACTCATCTTCACTGTCACTTCCATCTGTATTAGAACTGTCGCTGGGGAACAAAAGTGTCCCAATTCGCCGAGGAGTGAGGAACTTCTTACCGCAGGGCACGGTGGAAATTGTGTACTATGATGGCATTCCCACAATGCACCACTGGGTCCCAGATTTTTTTCCTACTGCGCACACCCACCACACAGACCCATTCTCTCACATCTAGGCTTATCAGCCTTTTCCTGCGAGATTTGAGGCCGCTAGAATTTATGCGTACTAGTACGTCAAAAACCCCTACGCGTAAGACGTACTAGTACGACCAAAACCCTCAAAGGGTTAAGTATGAAAGTGGAGTGCGTGTCTCCGAGCTGGCCAGGTTGTATAATAAACCCCAATCAACCATCGCTACTATTGGTGGTACAGCTGCTGCTGTACCACCGTCAGCTGCTGCTGCACTGTCAGCTGCTGCTGCTGTTGTACCACCGTCAGCTGCTGCTGCTGCTGTAGCATCGTCTGCTGCTGCTGTAGCATCGTCTGCTGCTGCTGTAGCATCGTCTGCTGCTGCTGTAGCATCGTCTGCTGCTGCTGTAGCATCGTCTGCTGCTGCTGTAGCATCGTCTGCTGCTGCTGTAGCATCGTCTGCTGCTGCTGTAGCATCGTCTGCTGCTGCTGTAGCATCGTCTGTTGCTGCTGTAGCATCGTCTGTTGCTGCTGTAGCATCGTCTGTTGCTGCTGTACCACCGTCAGCTGCTGCTGCTGCTGTAGCACCGTTGTTGGTGTGGCTTATTGAGAATACCAAGAAACAATTAACCCCAGAGGATTTGCCACCCAGGATAACCCAAAAAAGTCAGTGTCATCGAAGACTGCCTAACTTATTTCCATTGGGGTCCTTAATCTTGTCTCCCAGGATGCAACCCACACCAGTCGACTAACACCCAGGTGAACAGGGAAAAATGCCTGGAACTAGTGGTCATATTGGTGAATTTAAAGCCAGCAAAGGTTGGTTTGAGAGATTTAAGAATTGTAGTGGCATACACAGTTGATAAGGCCTGTTCTGGAAGAAAATGCCAAACAGGACCTACAGTACTCAGGAGGAAAAGGCACTCCCAGGACACAGTGTCTCATCAGTCATTGCTGCATCTTCAATAAAGGTAAGTGTCATTTATTCTTCATTTAGTAGAGTAGTACATGCACAATATATATTGTGCATGTACTACTCTACTATTGTGCATGTATCCTTCTCTTTGTGTGTAGGAAAATGTATATTTCATGTGGTAAAATTTTTTTTTTCATACTTTTGGGTGTCTTGCACGGATTAATTTGATTTCCATTATTTCTTATGGGGAAAATTCATTCGCATACCGAACATTTCGCATAACAATCAGCCCTCTTGCACGGATTAAGGTCGCTATGCGGGGGTCCACTGTATCTGAAAACATTCACTTCTTCCATACTACTCCTCCCCAATTTGATATCCAATTTTTCTTTATCTAAATCATTTGATACTCTCATCACCTTACTCTTTTCTATGTTCACTTTCAACTTTCTACCTTTACACACATTCTCAAACTCATCCACTAACCTTTGCAATTTTTCTTTAGAATCTCCCATAAGCACAGTATCATCAGCAAAAAGTAACTGTGTCAATTCCCATTTTGAATTTGATTCCCCATAATTTAATCCCACCCCTCTCCCGAGCACCCTAGCATTTACTTCTTTTACAACCCCATCTATAAATATATTAAACAACCATGTTGACATTACACATCCCTGTCTAAGACCTACTTTTACCGGGAAGTATTCTCCCTCTCTTCTACACACCCTAACCTGAGCCTCACTATCCTCATAAAAGCTCTTTACAGCATTTAGTAACTTACCACCTATTCCATATACAGTGGTCCCTCAATTATCATCCATAATCCGTTCCTGGAAGTGGGACTATTATCGAAATAAGACGATTTTCGAATCAATTTTCCCCATAAGAAATAATGTAAATACAATTAATCCGTTCCTGACACCCAGAGGTATTAAAACAAAAAAATTTTTTACATGAAATATATATGTAGTACATAAACAATACAATGGCACATGATGAATGAAACATTAACAGCATAACACTTACCTTTATTGGTGATTCTTCTTAGTGTATGGAAGACTGGAGGAGGAGAGAGATTGAATTACTGTTTGGAAGGGGAATTCCCTTCCATCAACACCTCAGGTACCAAGTGCTTTTCTGGGGTTACTTCTCTTCTCTGTTTCTTAATGCCACTAGGACCAACTTGAGAGTCACTGGAGTCCTGTCTCGCAAAAAAACTGTCCAGAGAGCTCTGTTTCTGGCGTCTCTTTAAAACTTCCCTAAAATGGGCCAAGACTCTGTCACTGTACAAGTTGCCGATATGGCTTGCAACATCCTTCTCAGGGTGATGTTTCTCCATAAATCTTTCCATCCTACCCCACATTTCAAAAATCTCCTTAATTTCTGAAGAAGGCACCTTCTTCCATCTCTATTCCTCCTCCTCTGCAGCAAGATTCTGAGCTGCGATCTGTTGCTCTTCCTGCTGAAACTCTTGCTCCTTTCATATTGTTCAATGATGTTTTTCTTAAATTCAATCGTATTTCTCACCTTCTTTACCAAAGGTTTGGCACTAGGAGCTTTCTTTGGAGCCATGGTAGCTTATCTAGCACTTTTTTTTTTTTTTTTTTTTTTTTTTCAACAAGCGGCCGTTCGCCACCGAGGGAGGGTGACAAAAAGAATGAAAATCCCAAAAATGAAATACTTTTTCATCATCTAACACTTTCCCACACTCGCACATTATCACTGTGTTTGGCAGAGGCTGAATACAACAGTCTAGAAGCATAAACATAAGAACACAACATATCCCTCCAAATGCCATATCCAAACCCCCTTAAGTGCAGCATTGTACTTCCCATTTCCAGGACTCAAGTCCGACTATATGAAAATAGCCTTGCAGCATAAATGATGGATATTATGAAATATTCGTTGAACACGTAGGGGACCGCGCTCCTGGAACAATGGCACACTGCTGAGAAGCTCAGAGCCGAGTAGCATCAGGACGAAGACGATTAGCGAGTTAATGAACCTTTGTGAGCCAATGTTTGCGAATAACGGACTATTTCCGAAATGGGCGACTTTCAGGCCGGACGATTATTGAGGGACCACTATAATAGCAAAATATGCAAGCGGTGCTCGCGTGTCTAATCTTGGTACCTGTGTAAAACATTCATTGTTTTCTATTTGCTGTGAAAAATCATTTCAATCCATTCATTATTAACGGTACCATGTCAAGAAACAGGTCAATATCTTACTTCCAAGATAATCTAGGAAAACACACGCATAACATAGGACTCGGGGAAAAAATATTCGGAAAAAATCGCACTATTTTTGAGCTTTTTGTTAAGACAAACGTGACCTAAGTGTGTTTGCCCTTATGTAAACACTGCCTCCGCCTTTCCATATAATATGCCTTCTATTATTAATTTTGGCATCTTTATTGTGCTTCTATGTTATCTATTGTGTTTCTGATATCAAGTTGGAATAAATGTGTTAGATAGATAACCCTGCCTCTCTCTCTTATAGCTCCTCCCACTTCAGGCCCCTCTTATATTATGCTTGCTTTCCATTTTGAATTTTTATTCACACAAAAAATAGAAGATTTTCTGTTACACAGATTACTGCATTATTGTAAAAATGGTATAAATAATACCAGTGCATCTGTGAAAGCATATTAGACCCACCAGTTGACGTGCATTGGATGCGTGATGTGATCTGTTTACTCTTGAACATCAGCAAAAATCGAACATTCCCGCTACTTTGAGCTCAATTTCAAGGTACTTTTATTCTGTAAGCCATTCAATATCATCTCTATTTGTGTAATATATTTTTCATTCTGTAGGTAGTAGGTTGGTAGACAGCAACCACCCAGGGAGGTACTACCGTCCTGCCAAGTAAGTGTAAAACGAGAGCCTGTAATTGTTTTACATGATGGTAGGATTGCTGGTGTCTTTTGTCTGTCTCATAAATATGCAAGATTACAGATGCGTCTTTCTACTTCTACTTACACTTAGGTCACACTACACATGCATGTACACGTTTATTTATACACTCATCTGAGTTTTCTTTGAGGTTTATCTTAATAGTTCTTGTTCTTATTACTTTTCCTTTTATATCCATGGGGAAGTGGAATAAGAATCTTTCCTCCATAAGCCATGTGTGTTGTAAAAGTCAACTAAAATGCCGGGAACAATGGGCTAGTAACCCCTTTTCCTGTAAAGATTATTAATAATAATAACTAGAAGAAAATTGTCAAAGTGGGATGTCTGAATGTGCGTGGATGTTGTGCGAATGATAAGAAAGAGATGATTGTGGATGCTATGAATGAGAAGAAGCTGGATGTCCTGGCTTTAAGTGAAACAAGGCTGAAGGGGGTGGGAGAGTTTCAGTGCAATTATTATGCAGAAAATTCGGTGTGTGGAAATTAGGAGATGTGGAGTTAATAAAAGTATTAGTCAGAGGGCTGAAGAGGGGTTATTGAGGTGGTTTGGTCATTTAGAGAGAATGGATCAAAGTAGAATGACACGGAGAGCGTATAAATCTGTAGGGGAAGGAAGGCGAGGTAGGAGTCGTCCTCGAAAAGGTTGGAGGGAGAGGGTAAATGAAGTTTTGTGGGGAAGGGGCTTGGACTTCCAGCAAGCGTGCATGAGTGTGTTAGATAGGAGTGAATGGAGACAAATGATATATGGGACCTGACGAGCTGTTGGATTGTGAGTAGGGTAATATTTAGTGGAGAGATTCAGGGAAACCGGTTATTTTTATATAGCTGAACTTGAGTCCTGGAAATGGGAAGTACAATGCCTGCACGTTAAAGGAGGGGTTTGGGATATTGGCAGTTTGGAGGGATATGTTTGTGTATCTTTATACGTATATGCTTCTAAACTGTTGTGTTCTGAGCACCTCTGCAAAAACAGTGATTATGTGTGAGTGAGGTGAAAGTGTTGAATGATGATGAAAGTAATTTCTTTTTGGGGATTTTCTTTCTTTTTGGGTCACCCTGCTTCGGTGGGAGACGGCTGATTTGTTAAAAAAAACAAAAAAAAAACATGTATAGTACTTACAGTTGTGAAAACTGCGGTAACATTCCAGATGCCTCAGAAAATTTAATTATCATAGCTTCCTGCATGGGCAGAAGTGTGGCTTGCTGGGTACCAGGATCATTTGCAGGGGCTGGCTCAATCTGCTCCACTGACACCATAATGGGCTGTGCTGGTGCAACCACCCGAGTCTTATTAAATGCTTTCTGTAAGAAGGTAATATGGAATTCAGTGAACAAAAAATCAAAGTAATACATACTGAGCTTTACTTTTGTAGAGTTTAATATGTAGGGTAAGACAGAATTTAACAGTCAAAAGAATTTTTGATATAGTATTTTACAACTAGTAATAATAATAGAATTACTGACAGAATGTTAGGTGAATGGACACAGGTGCAACTAATGTGACATTTTGTTGTGGCAACATTTCATTCTCCAGGAGAAATGTTGCCACAATAAAATGTCACATTAGTTGCATCTGTGCCCATGCACCTAATATTTTATAACTTTAAAGTTTGTTATTGTACAATAAAATGACTTTCAAACAAGTTGTACTGCAGTATACTGTATGTAATACAAAGGTTATGCTGTTAATAAGGAACACAGTTCCTGAAAATCCTTAAATAAGTATGTACATATGCAAAAAAATGATAAACCCACATGGGAATGAATAATAGATCCAAGTACTCATTGAGCTTTGTGTGCAGACAAATTTCTCAATACAGTAAAAGAGTTAAAAAAAAAATTGTAATCATTGTAATCCATGCTTTAACTGAAAAATGACTCATTCAATCAGCTTCAAATTTTTACCACCTGTGGTTTCCTGAATGCAATCAGAAAGCAATGCAAGATGGGAATGGAGTATTTAAAGCTATTGCAATATTGTAATCTGATAAAAAGAAATAATAGATAGCATCTGCATTAAACTTGGTACGTTCAGCAAGGAGGAATGGCAAAGTTTACAAGAAAAACTTGAAGGGGTACAAGTGAGAACAGGAAAAATGCTTCAAACACAAGACTGCAATGCTAACCAATCAACTGCTAAGTATTTATTAAAACATGTTATTGAACATGATATATAACATCAGCATCAATGGCATGTTCCTCTTTGATTGTCTTTATAACAGCAATACCAGAATAATAGTCCTTAAAAGTAGTAGCAATAGCACTAGAAATAACAGTAACAAAGAACAATTAAGCAAAAACATCAACAGCATTATTAGCAATAACAATATCTGTAACAAGAGCAGGTATCTTCCTTGAGGGTCCTTTCCATAGTTCTACAGGTTTGATGCCAGGGTCCAAGCCATAGTACTGTCATGAGCTCAGCTCACTCAGATAAGCAGTGAGCGGTAAATTTGGGCCTAGATACGAGAGAATGCATCTACAGTATGTTGAGCGGTAAATCTGGGCCTAGATATGAGAGACTGCATCTATGTGGGAAGTGTGCACCATATAAAACAAATCCTGCAGCACACAGTGCATAATGAGAAAAAAAACTGGGAGTGTGTTTTTGGATTAAAACAGCAACTTTGTGGTGTATTTTTGTATGGTTTATATGGTTGTATTCGAGGTTTCTTGGTCTCAATTGATAGAATGAAAGATATATTACAGATAGAGATGATTTTGATTGGTTTTAGTAATGAAAATAGCTTGAAATTGAGCTCAAAGTAGCAGAAATGTTCGAATTTTGCCAATGTTCAAGAGCAAACAAATCATACCATGCATGTAATAAACATCAGGTGGTGAATCTAATGTGCGTTCCCAAATGCGCTGATATTATTTATACAATTATTACAATATTGCATAACAGCAAATCTACTTTTTGGTGCGAATAAAAATTCTTTATATGAATAAAAATCAAAATGGAATTTGTCTGTAAAGCCTGAAAAGATAACTAATACACAGAGGAAATGTTATGCTAGTGCCAGGAATGCCTGCATTGTTTATTCTAGACCCTATTTTGAAATTGGAATATTTTGAACTTTAAGAATTTGGTCTAATGCAATTGGCCAAAAACAGGACTCAAAATGTGCAAAATCGCCAATGCGTAAATATTGCTGACACAGCAAAATTCGCGGGAGCGTAATTTTGTCAATTCTTTATCAAATTTCATACCTCTTGTTTTATTACCTTCAGAAAAAGATTCTCGACCATTTCATAAGAAAATAATAATTTTTTTTTTTTAAATTCTTGGATCCTGTGGGGAATTTTCAGACTAGGGGTCTGGACCCTCAAAGGGTTAAACACTAACACATTTTATTAATTGCCTAAGTACTAATACAAAATGAAACTTAATGAGATTACCTTAACTTGCTCCACTGTAGCTGTGGTAATATAGATCTGCTCATTACATATGCAGTAACCGGTTCCTTCAGGTACAATTGTTAAGGTACGTGTGAATGAACGAATGGGTGGCAGTCGGTCTGCCTGTTGACGGAATACCCCACTGAGAGTCACAACTATCAGTTTAGGCTGCAAATACATAAATATTTTAGCCTATTAAAAAATTAATATTTTATAACCTATTTTTACAGCAATGTGATTTGTATGTAACATTCATAAACCATTTCTTCTTCTTTCAACAAACCAGCTATATCCGACCAAGGCAGGGTGGTCTGAAAAGAAAAACAAGTGTTTCTCTTCATAACTTTAGTAAAGTATACAGGAGAAGGGGTTACTAGCCCCTTGCTCCCGGCATTTTAGTCGTTTCTTATGACATGTATGGCTTATGGAGGAAGAAATCTGTTCCACTTACCCCATGGACAATAAACTATTTCATGTACTGAATATCTCAGTACTTGTAAAGGTAGAAAGTTGAAAGCGAACATAGAAAATAGTAAGGTGATGAGGGTATCAAAACATTTAGGTAAAAACTGGATATCAAATTGGGGAGGAGGAGTATGGAAGAAGTGAATGTTTTCAGATATTTGGGAGTTGACGTGTCAGTGAATGGATTTATGAAGGATGAGGTTAATCATAGAATTAATGAAGGAAAAAAGGCAGGTGGTGCGTTGAGGTATATGTGGAGACAAAAAAAAGTATATGGAGAAAAAGAGAGAAGTTAAGAGAGTGGTGAAGCAATGTAAAAAGAGAGCAAATGAGAGAGTGGGTGAGATGTTATCAACAAATTTTGTTGAAAATAAGAAAAAGTTTTGGAGTGAGATTAACAAGTTAAGAAAGCCTAGAGAACAAATGGATTTGTCAGTTAAAAATAGGAGAGGAGAGTTATTAAATGGAGAGTTAGAGGTATTGGGAAGATGGAAGGAATATTTTGAGGAATTGTTAAATGTTGATGAAGATAGGGAAGCTGTGATTTCGTGTATAGGGCAAGGAGGAATAACATCTTGTAGGAGTGAGGAAGAGCCAGTTGTGAGTGTGGGGGAAGTTCGTGAGGCAGTAGGTAAAATGAAAGGGGGTAAGGCAGCCGGGATTGATGGGATAAAGATAGAAATGTTAAAAGCAGGTGGGGATATAGTTTTGGAGTGGTTGGTGCAATTATTTAATAAATGTATGGAAGAGGGTAAGGTACCTAGGGATTGGCAGAGAGCATGCATAGTTCCTTTGTATAAAGGCAAAGGGGATAACAGAGAGTGCAAAAATTATAGGGGGATAAGTCTGTTGAGTGTACCTGGTAAAGTGTATGGTAGAGTTATAATTGAAAGAATTAAGAGTAAGACGGAGAATAGGATAGCAGATGAACAAGGAGGCTTTAGGAAAGGTAGGGGGTGTGTGGACCAGGTGTTTACAGTGAAACATATAAGTGAACAGTATTTAGATAAGGCTAAAGAGGTCTTTGTGGCATTTATGGATTTGGAAAAGGCGTATGACAGGGTGGATAGGGGGGCAATGTGGCAGATGTTGCAAGTGTATGGTGTAGGAGGTAGGTTACTGAAAGCAGTGAAGAGTTTTTACGAGGATAGTGAGGCTCAAGTTAGAGTATGTAGGAAAGAGGGAAATTTTTTCCCAGTAAAAGTAGGCCTTAGACAAGGATGTGTGATGTCACCGTGGTTGTTTAATATATTTATAGATGGGGTTGTAAGAGAAGTAAATGCGAGGGTCTTGGCAAGAGGCGTGGAGTTAAAAGATAAAGAATCACACACAAAGTGGGAGTTGTCACAGCTGCTCTTTGCTGATGACACTGTGCTCTTGGGAGATTCTGAAGAGAAGTTGCAGAGATTGGTGGATGAATTTGGTAGGGTGTGCAAAAGAAGAAAATTAAAGGTGAATACAGGAAAGAGTAAGGTTATGAGGATAACAAAAAGATTAGGTGATGAAAGATTGAATATCAGATTGGAGGGAGAGAGTATGGAGGAGGTGAACGTATTCAGATATTTGGGAGTGGACGTGTCAGCGGATGGGTCTATGAAAGATGAGGTGAATCATAGAATTGATGAGGGAAAAAGAGTGAGTGGTGCACTTAGGAGTCTGTGGAGACAAAGAACTTTGTCCTTGGAGGCAAAGAGGGGAATGTATGAGAGTATAGTTTTACCAACGCTCTTATATGGGTGTGAAGCGTGGGTGATGAATGTTGCAGCGAGGAGAAGGCTGGAGGCAGTGGAGATGTCATGTCTGAGGGCAATGTGTGGTGTGAATATAATGCAGAGAATTCGTAGTTTGGAAGTTAGGAGGAGGTGCGGGATTACCAAAACTGTTGTCCAGAGGGCTGAGGAAGGGTTGTTGAGGTGGTTCGGACATGTAGAGAGAATGGAGCGAAACAGAATGACTTCAAGAGTGTATCAGTCTGTAGTGGAAGGAAGGCGGGGTAGGGGTCGGCCTAGGAAGGGTTGGAGGGAGGGGGTAAAGGAGGTTTTGTGTGCGAGGGGCTTGGACTTCCAGCAGGCATGCGTGAGCGTGTTTGATAGGAGTGAATGGAGACAAATGGTTTTTAATACTTGACGTGCTGTTGGAGTGTGAGCAAAGTAACATTTATGAAGGGATTCAGGGAAACCGGCAGGCCGGACTTGAGTCCTGGAGATGGGAAGTACAGTGCCTGCACTCTGAAGGAGGGGTGTTAATGTTGCAGTTTAAAAACTGTAGTGTAAAGCACCCTTCTGGCAAGACAGTGATGGAGTGAATGATGGTGAAAGTTTTTCTTTTTCGGGCCACCCTGCCTTGGTGGGAATCGGCCGGTGTGATAATAAAAAAAATAATAAAAAAAAAAAAAAGTTGTCTATGGAGGCAAAGAAGGGAATGTATGAAAGTATAGTGGTACCAACACTATTATATGGGTGTGAAGCTTGGGTTGTAAATGCTGCAGCGAGGAGGCAGTTGGAGGCAGTGGAGATGTCCTGTCTAAGGGCAATGTGTGGTGTAAATATTATGCAGAAAATTTGGAGTGCGGAAATTAGGAGGTGTGGAGTTAATAAAAGTACAGTGGACCCTCGACCAACGATGGCATCGTCTAACATTAAATCCAACTAGCGATACATTTTAACGCAAAAATTTTGCCTCGACTAGCGCTAAAAAACTCAACCAACACGATTCGTTCCGTCTAGAGACGCGTCCACTTGTGGCCAGTGTTTACAAGCCAGCCAGCCACCGCGGTCCCATCCAAACATACAATCAGAACATTTCATATTATCACAGCATTTTTAGTTATTGCACCTGCAAAATAAGTCACCATGGGCCCCAAGAAAGCTTCTAGTGCCAACCCTACAGCAAAAAGGGTGAGAATTACTATGGATATGAAGAAAGAGATCATTGCTAAGTATGAAAGTGGAGTGCGTGTCTCCGAGCTGGCCAGGTTGTACACAAAACCCCAATCAACCATTGCTACTATTGTGGCCAAGAAAATGGCAATCAGTGAAACTGTTCTTGCCAAAGGTGCAACTATGTTTTCGAAACTGAGATCGCAAGTGATAGAAGATGCTGAGAGACTGTTATTGATGAGGATAAACGAAAAACAGATAGGAGGAGATAGCATCTCTCTAGCGATCATATGTGAAAAGGCTAGGAAGTTGCATGATGATTTAATTAGAAAAATGCCTGCAACTAGTGATGATGTGAGTGAATTTAAGGCCAGGAAAGGTTGGTTTGAGAGATTTAAGAATCGTAGTGGCATACATAGTGTGATAAGGCATGGTGAGGCTGCCAGTTTGGATCAAAAAGCAGCTGAAAAATATGTGCAGGAATTCAAGGAGTACATAGACAGTGAAGAACTGAAACCTGAACAAGTGTTTAATTGTGACACTGACAATGTTGTGAAACACTTTAGGAATGTCATAAAGGAACGGGAGGTACAGGCCTCTATGGACAGATATGGTGTGCGACAGAGGTCCAGTGACTCTCAAGCTGGTCCTAGTGGCATTAAAAGAAGAAGGGAAGTAACCCTGGAAAAGGACGTGAGGTGTCAAGTCCTAATGGAAGGGGATTCCCCTTCTAAACACTAACACCATCCACAGTCTCCCCTCCTCCCATCCCATCAATCATCACCAGATCTTCAATAAAGGTAAATGTCATGTAATTGTAAATGTCTTCTTCAGTTTGTGTGTATTAAAATTAATATTTCATGTGGTAAAAGTTTTATTTTCAATACTTTCGGGTGTCTTGCACGGATTAATTTGATTTCCATTATTTCTTATGGGGAAAATTAACTCGACTAACGATAATTCTAATTAACGATGAGCTCTCAGGAACGGATTAATATCATTGGTCGAGGGTCCACTGTATTAGTCAGAGGGCTGAAGAAGGGTTGTTGAGGTGGTTTAGTCATTTAGAGAGAATGGATCAAAGTAGAATGACATGGAGTGTATAAATCTGTAGGGGAAGGAAGGTGGGGTAGGGGTCGTCCTCAAAAAGGTTGGAGGGAGGGGGTAAAGGAGGTTTTGTGGGCGAGGGGTTTGGACTTCCAGCAAGCGTGCGGAGCATGTTGGATAGGAGTGAATGGAGACAAATGGTATTTGGGACCTGGCGAGCGGCTGGAGTGTGAGCAGGGTAATATTCAGTGAAGGGATTCAGGGAAACCGGTTATTTTTATATAGCTGGACTTGAGCCCTGGAAATGGGAAGTACAATGCCTGCACTTTAACCCTTTGACTGTTTTAGTCGCATATATACGTCTTACGAGCCACCGTTTTTGACGTACACTCAAATTCTAGCGACTTTAAATCAAGCAGGAGAAAGCTGGTAGGCCCACATGTGAGAGAATGGGTCTGTGTGGTCAGTATGCACCATATAAAAAAAATCCTGCAGCACGCAGTGCATAATGAAAGAAAAAAAAACTCCGACCGTTTTTTTTTTATCAAAATGCCAACTTTGTGGTCTATTTTTGTATAGTATTTATGGTTGTATTCTTGTTTCCTTAGTCTCATTTGATAAATGGAAAACATATTATAGAAATAGAGGTGATTTTGATTGGTTTTACTATGAAAAGAACCTTGAAATGGAGCTCAAAGTAGGGGAAATGTTTGATTTTTGCCGATGTTCAAAAGTAAACAAATGATGTCATTTTCCAATAAATGTCCAAGTAGCCATTCTAATATGCAGTCATAAATGGGTTGATATTATTTATACAATTATTACAATATTGCAGTAGTCTGCATAACAGTAAATCTTCTATTTTTTGTTTGAATAAAAATTCAAAATAGAAAACAAGAGTAATATCAGAGGGGCCTGGAGACATGACTTATGAACAGAGAAAATGTTATTTTAGAGCCAGGAATGTCTGCATTATTCATTCTGGACCCTATTTTGAAATTGTCATATTTTTTAATTTTCGTGAAATTGGCCAAATTGCAAATTTCTGACCATGTTATTGGGTAGTTGAATCGGTAAATGGGCAGTTTCTTGTACTCAATCGATAGACAAAATGGAGTTCTAAAGAAATAGCTATGAGTTTGGTCAACTGGAACAATGGAATTAGCCAAAAGTAGGACTCAAAGTGGCCGAAATCGCCAATTCGTAAATATCGCCGAGGTCGCTAACTTCGTGAGAGCGTAATTCTGTCAGTTTTCCATAAAATTTTGTTCTTTTGGTGTCATTACAATCGGGAAAAGATTCTCTATCATTTCATAAGAAAAAATAAATTATTTTTTGGGGGAAATTTTGCGACACCATGAGACACCTCAGGATTTGGGGTTGCGACAGTCAAGGGGTTAAAGGAGGGGTTTGGGATATTGGCAGTCTGGAGGGATATGTTGTGTATCTTTATACATATATGCTTCTAAACTGTTGTATTCTGAGCACCTCTGCAAAAACAGTGATTATGTGTGAGTGTGGTGAAAGTGTTGAATGATGATGAAAGTATTTTCTTTTTGAGGATTCTCTTTCTTTTTTGGGTCACGTTGCCTCAGTGGGAGACAGCCGACTTGTTGAAAAAATAAAAAAACATTTATTTCTAGGTAGTAGGTTGGTACACAGCAACTGCCCAGGGAGGTACCACCGTCCTGCCAAGTGATTGCAAAACAGAAGCCTGTACAGTGGAACCTCAAATTTTTAACATATCGCTTATCGAACTCTTCGAAAATAGAACCCTTTTTTCGAACCAACTTTGTCCCTATTATCGAACTTGCCCCTGCGTCCCCATGCAGGGGCAGTGAGCCGGTCTGATTTTGTTGATGCTTCACTGAACACTAACCTGAACTCTCATTCAAACATTTTACGATTATTTCATTGTGTTTAGTGCTTGTGGAACTGTGAAATAAGCTACAGTGGGCCTAAAAAACTTGCTAGTGGTACCCCTGTGGTAAAGAAAGTGAGAAACACCATAGATGTGAAGAAGGAAATAATACACAAGTGGAATGATGTCCAAATGTTGGTGGAGAAGTACCACCCTGAGCAAGCTGAAACAAGCCGTCTTTGCAACAAGTTCAGTGACAGAACCATGTCCCATTTTAGGGAAATCTTAAAGAGGCACCAGAAACAGAAAACTGTGGAAAGTTATTTTGTGAGACAAGGGTCCAGTGACTCTCAAGCTGGTTCTAGTGGCATTAAAAGACAGAAGGGAAGTAACCCCCAGAGAGGGCTTTGATACCTGAAGTCCTCATGGAGGGGGATTCTCCTTCCAAACACTAACCCCAACTCCCTCTCTCCTCCTCCTTATCTTCCAGAAGCCATCACCAATCTTCAATAAAGGTAAGTAAAATGTTATTTTTTTTTTTCAACAAGTCGGCTGTCTCCCACAGAGGCAGGGTGACCCAAAAAGAAAATACTTTCATCATCATTCAACACTTTCACCTCACTCATACATAACCACTGTTTTTGCAGAGGTGCTCAGAACACAACAGTTTAGAAGCATATATGTATAAAGATACACAACATATCCCTCCAAACTGCTAATATCCCAAAACCCCTCCTTTAGAGTGCAGACATTGTACTTCCCATTTTAAATTTATTTAAATTTATTAATACAAAATTAAACACAATATTTGTTGTGTGTATATAAAACTATAATTAATCTCTATAAAATGTATTTTTTTGTGAATATTTTTGGGTTTCTGGAACGGATTAATTTTATTTCCATTATTTCTTATGGGAAATATTGCTTCGCTTTTCAGACTTTTCGAATTTAGAACTAACTCCTGGAACGGATTAAGTTTGATATTTGAGGTTCCACTGTATTTGTTTTACATGATGGTACAACTGCTGGTGTTTTTTTTCTGTCTCATAAGCATGCAAGTTTTCAGGTACGTCTTGCTACTTCTACTTACACTTAGGTTAAACTACGCTTGCATGTACAAGCATATATACACACACACACACACACACCTCTCTGGGTTGTCTTTTATTTTCTAACTAGTTCTTGTTTAATTCCTCTTATCTCCGAGGGGAAGTGGAACAGAACTTCTTCCTCTGTAAGCCTATGTGTGTCGTAAGAGGAGACTAACATGCTGGGAGCAAGGGGCTAGTAACCCCTTCGCCTGTATACATTACTAAAGTTAAAAAGAGAAACTTTCGTTTTTCTTTTTGGGTCACCCTGCCTCGGTGGGATACGGATTTGTTGAAAGAAGATACATACAGTGGAACCTTGGTATATGACCAGCTCTTCACCTGAACAAAGCTCAGCACTCAACCAAACAAATAAGACCTGCCAGAACTTCGCTGTAAACTATTTCGTGTTTCTTTGCATTTTTTGGTGTTTTTTTGTATTATTTGTATAAATAAATCACCATGGGGCCTACAACGATTAGTGATAATAGCCAACCGAACAGAAAATTGGTTGGGAAGAACTTGTTCAATACTCAAACGGAGTGGCACTCGAATAACCTTCTGGAATGAATTAAGGGTGCATACTGAGGTTCCACTGTATTTATTACCACTAAAAAGACTGCCTTAACAAAGGGTATAATTCTGGCAGGTAAATAATGAAAATAAGAGTAGAAATAAGTCATTTAATTACTAAGTGTAAAGTAAAGACAGAATAAGGAAAAGAAGTGCCATAGCAATATTAGTAAAAAATATGTACAGGCTGGTGAAAAAATGTAAATGAAAAATAATGTTGAGATTTCAATAGTAGAACTCAGACACAATAAGAGAATGCTGTATTATATCTGTTATGTACAAAACACTATTAAATACTACTTGTGGAAATTTATTCGGTCATAAAGTTCCACAGGACAGATACATTGTACAAAGATCCCATCAGGCTGCGATGAACAGCTGGGTTGGGTGGCCCTTACACCCACCCAAAACACACACACACCCGGGTTGGCGAAGGTGGTTGGAAGGTACTTCTTAATTGATAGATTTACCCTTCAAGGAAGAGGTAGGTAGTTTATACTGTTAGTGAACTAATATTAGAACTACTGAGCTAACTGTAGATAATAATAATGTAGACCTAAGACCTTAACGTAGGTAGTAATAGGCCGATAATGTAGGCAAACACTAGGTTATGTTAGCCAGGGAGAACTGGCAGCCCAAGTTTGAATACTGGGGCATGGGTTTGAGACCGCAGTGCCCTTTTCCTCTAAGACCAGTCACCGTTGGAGCACAAGTGCCGTGATCAGCAGGCGGCACCCCCACGTGTCTTCACATACTAGACCTGGGGAAATCTGGTGGAGGCACCTCGGCGTACCGTAGATGACCTCCTCCGTAGGCCTATACAGTAAGACGAGACTTCCCTTTTTTCTGCGGGATTCTGGCCAGTTTCTGGGGAAAATTGCGAGTGAGTTGAGCTGTGGGCCTTTGTGCATGCGGCAGTTCATGACCAGTATGTACCGCCATCACTCCATCAGGCTTAGAAGCTAGTGTCCATTTCTGCATAGTTATACTAGGGGATACACACCCCCATGGAAACAGGAATTTCTGAAGTGCAGGCAGGTCACTAATATCGACTGAATATTGCAGGAATTAAGGCTCCCGGTTGCACGTGGTTCTGAGGGGAAGTCCGGAGGGGCTAAAGCTTAGGGAGGTTGAAGATCGGGACACATTCTCCAACACCAAGTAAGTTAGTCCTTTATACATGCATGCAGGCGAGATTTCTTGCAACATCAGTCATTTATGGAAATTTGTCCTATAAGCCACTTGTGAGGCTGAGGTTCCGACCTCAGGGCTCGGTGTCAACAGAACTTGCCAGGGTAGGCAACTCACATGGAGGCAGTCCAGACAAATTTTCACACTACTACTTGAAAAAGATAATACAAGGTAAGGTCCATAATAATAGGTTCTAATTACAAATATAAACAAAATAGTCTATGAGACTAGTGTGAAAAACAGATAGTCATTTTAATGTTTTAATTTGATGAGCTCTAATTTATGTGCATTACCAAAATACATTAGAGAGACAATGAGTGAGGACATCAGACCATTAATTCTGAATGTAGTGCTATATTTATCAGGCAGGGAAAAAATTCAGTACAAATTACCAGAGCCCACTTGGTAAGTAATCTGTATTTACTGGGTAAATGGTATGGCATATTACCAATAATCATGAATAAAATGATTTGTGAACAACTGATAGTGTACTATTAATTAACCTATAAAGTTAAAAATTTACTTGCTGAATACTGATAATTTAGGTACTGTACCTCTAATACTGAAGTGTTTCAAGAATAATAATTTAGATATATGTATTACTGTATGTGTAATACAAGCATTGCATGAAGAAGAGATGCACTTACGTTTGCCACTGGAACATCCAAAGTGAAGGAAGGAGGATCATGAACAGTGGAGGGAAGCTTGCACAGAAGGTTACCAATGGCACTGCGTCCTTGAAATACTAGCTTCTGTCGCCGGTTGGAAGATCCTAATTTTTTTAAATTCCTATTTTCAGTTAAATAGATGTTTGAAAACCTGTATAATAAAAGAATACAGTATATAATTTTCATCGCTGAAAACTTATACACATGGGCTGCATCAAGCTTTCAAATTTTTTAGGAAAATAAAAAAGCTAGAAAATGTGACTATGGTGATTTTATTTGTGAATCATTACTGCACAATATTCAAAAATAAATTTGTTAAACATGAATATCTTATGAAATCCATTCTTTTCCCTGTGCAATGAGAACACACCCACACTTGATTAGCAGGGGAGTCAGTGGTACCTTTAACCTCACTAACCACTGGAGTACACTCGTCCTGGAGAACAGAGAATCGATTTCCTACCTTCACATCTTCTCTATTAACCTTCCTCATCTTCCTTTTTCCTGAACTGTGAACCACTTGCCACTTAAAGTGGCTGCAACTATTTAGCTCACTGCTGGTATCCTTTTCCTCACCAGCTCCAACCATCTCAGACTCACTCCCAAACCCACCTAGGCAAAGCTTCAGCCTCCTATTTTCCTCCTGAAGAAGTAGAACCTCCTTCTTCAACACTTTAACCTGAGATTCCAAAACACTACAGCAGGCCATGGTGCTCAGTAACACCCTACACTATATTCCCAGACAGCTTAGGACAGGGACCACACGTGACCTCTGACTGTAGCTGGCAGCTTGGATGGTGGGGAAGATGGTGTGTAAGTAAGTTTATTCAGGTGTATACAGTACATAGATTATCATACATAACAGCATGTGTAGAGAACCTAGAATAACCCAAAAAAGTCAAGTGACTTATTTCCAGCATGGGTGGTGGGGAAGACGGTGTGAGTGTTGGGGAAAGCAGCGTGGGTGTTGGGGAAGATGGTGTGAATGTGGAAGGCAGCATGGGTGTGTGTAAACAAGTTATGTAAACATTATATTGATAACAATAGAAAAGAAAAATAGAATAAAAGTAAAAATAATATTACTGAGTGAGAGGCCGTCACAGACGTTTCCGTAAGCGGTTCACTTTGTCAACTTCACACTTCTATATCTTGGTAACCACTGATGGCAATTTTTTTTTTTAAAACACTCTGAAAAATATTAACATTTTGGTAAGAATTTTTTTTTTTCGACACTGAAAACAGGTTTGTTATGAGGACTGTCGAAAGTGACAGTCCACCATCCACCTCAGCCCAGTAGGGCCACAGCATAACTCTCCACTCTCTTCACAATCATCCACAAACACCAGCACCCACGATTTAAGGTAAGAAATACTATTATTTATGTTACATTTGTGGTCTTAGCAGTAAAAACAACATAATACATCACAACAATGAACTACAACTACATATTAACTTTTATTTTTGTATGATGTGGAGGCCTAAAAAAAAGTTGTTTGGCTTTTTGGGGGCTCCCAAGAACGTAACCCTATTTTTCCCGTAAATTCTTCAGTTCATCTAACACGATTTTTATCTAACACTGCATTTTCAGGAACGTAACTACCGTGCTAAATGACGATCTACTGTAATAGTATAATAATAACATAGTATAATATAATAATAATATGTATAATAATAATATAATGTATAATAATAATACATGTAAAACAATAATGTACTATATAATAATAATTTGGTAGGGTGTGCAAAATAAGAAAATTAAAAGTGAATACAGGAAAGAGTAAGGTTATGAGGATAACAAAAAGATTAGGTGATGAAAGATTGGATATCAGATTGGAGGGAGAGAGTATGGAGGAGGTGAATGTATTCAGATATTTGGGAGTGGACGTGTCAGCGGATGGGTCTATGAAAGATGAGGTGAATCATAGAATTGATAAGGGGAAAAGGGTGAGTGGTGCACTTAGGAGTCTGTGGAGACAAAGAACTTTGTCCTTGGAGGCAAAGAGGGGAATGTATGAGAGTAGTTTTACCAACACTCTTATATGGGTGTGAAGCATGGGTGATGAATTTTGCAGCGAGGAGAAGGCTGGAGGCAGTGGAGATGTCATGTCTGAGGGCAATGTATGGTGTGAATATAATGCAGAGAATTCGTAGTTTGGAAGTTAGGAGGAGGTGCGGGATTACCAAAACTGTTGTCCAGAGGGCTGAGGAAGGGTTGTTGAGGTGGTTCAGACATGTAGAAAGAATGGAGCGAAACAGAGTGACTTCAAGAGTGTATCAGTCTGTAGTGGAAGGAAGGCAGGGTAGGGGTCGGCCTAGGAAAGGTTGGAGGGAGGGGGTAAAGGAGGTTTTGTGTGCGAGGGGCTTGGACTTCCAGCAGGCATGCTTGAGCGTGTTTGATAGGAGTGAATGGAGACAAATGGTTTTTAATACTTGGCGTGCTGTTGGAGTGTGAGCAAAGTAACATTTATGAAGGGGTTCAGGGAAACCGGCAGGCCGGACTTGAGTCCTGGAGATGGGAAGTACAGTGCCTGCACTCTGAAGGAGGGGTGTTAATGTTGCAGTTTAAAAACTGTAGTGTAAAGCACCCTTCTGGCAAGACAGTGATGGAGTGAATGATGGTGAAAGTTTTTCTTTTTCGGGCCACCCTGCCTTGGTGGGAATCGGCCAGTGTGATAATAAAAAAAAATAATAATAAAATAATAATAATTATAATAGACGGCTTCAAAAGGCCATCACTAGACAGCAGTGTTTACCACAACACAGCGGGAGCGGTTGTGGTCGCCTCCACCTGTTACATAATGGCATATTTTATTCATTCTAGAGTATATATCAGGTTTCTATGTTATTTATATTGTTTATTATGTCATATTAGATGAACTGTGATAAATAAATAAGCCGTATAGATGATATTAGCAAAATTATTCAAGGAGTATTTTGTTCAGTCTCCAGACATACTTTCATCCACTGACAATACCACTACATGAATGACATATTTTATTCATTCTAGAGTATATATCAAGTTTCTATGTTATCTATATTGTTGAAGATTGAGACACTTATGCAGCATATGGGAATCTTTATTCAGGAAACGTTTCGCCACACAGTGGCTTCATCAGTATTGGACTGATGAAGCCACTGTGTGGCGAAACGTTTCCTGAATAAAGATTCCCATATGCTGCATAAGTGTCTCAATCTTCAACTTGTCGGTTTTTCAAACCATTCATCACATCTATATTGTTTATTATGTCATATTAGATGAACTGTGATAGATAAATAAGCCACAGAGTTGATTATAGGGAAATTATTGAAGTACAGAATTCCACTGGAATGGATTAATTGCATTTCAATTAATTTAAATGAGGAAAACTGACTCTGCAAACAACCAAATCCAGATGCGAGCAACGTCACAGAACGAATTAAACTCCTGAGTGGAGGTTCCACTGTATTGGTAAAAAAAAAAAAAATTTGGTATTGCCACATCCCTATTTCTAATAGCTACCCTGATCAACTTCAAAAATTATTAAACCACCCAAACTAACATCAATTTGTATGTGGTACAAGGACATTATTTTGCTCATGGCTCATCAGTCAGCTGTCCTCTCTTTCTTTGTACTGGGACTTACATTTTGTACAGCATATATAATTTATAACTGCTTTACCATCATTGCTTGTACTCTTCAATCTAACAGTAATTTTCCTTGAATGAAACATATAATCCTGATGAAGCTTTGATATGCCTCTATAAAACAGACCAGGGGTTCCCAACCCTAGGATCACTAAGCATTTGTCATGAGGTCATGACATCTGGTGATAAAGTTAATTCTAAGATTCAGTTGTAGAATATACAATCAATAATCTATAATTTTAATACTGCTTTCTTAAATTATACTTACAGGTTTTTCTCATACAGAAACTACAATTGCCTTATTTTTTTTTTTTAACACGTTGGCTGTTTCCCACCGAGGCAGGGCGACCAAAAAAAAAAAAAAAAAAAAAAACTTTCATCATTCAACACTTTCACCATCACTCATACATAATCACCGTCTTTGCAGAGGCACTCAGATGCGACAGTTTAGATGTCCCACCAAACTGCCAATATCCCAAACCCCTCCTTAAAATGCAGGCATTCCAGGACTCAATTCCAGCTAACCGGTTTCCCTGAACCCCTTCACAAAATATTACCCTGCTCACATTCCAACAGCTCATCAGGTCCCAGAAACCATTCCTCTCCATTCACTCCTAAGACGCTCACACACACTTGTTTGAAGTCCAAGCCCCTCTCCCACAAAGCCTCCTTTACCTCCTCCCTCCAACCTTAACGAAGACGACCCCTACCCCCTCCTTCTGGTGGCCTGGTGGCTAAAGCTCTTGCTTCATACATGGAGGGCCTGGGTTCGATTCCCGGCGGGTCTAAACATTTCGATGCGTTTCTTTACACCTGTTGTCCTGTTCACCTAGCAGCAAATATGTACCTGGGTGTTAGTCGACTAGTGTGGGTTGCATCCTGGGGGACAAGATTGAGGACCCCAATGGAAATAAGTTAGACAGTCCTCGATGACGCACTGACTTTCTTGGGTTATCCTGGGTGGCTAACCCTCCGGGGTTAAAAATCCTAAGAAAATCTTATCTTATCTATAGATCTATATGCTCTCCAAGTCATTCTACTTTGTTCCATTCTCTCTAAGTAACCAAACTACCTCAACAACCCCTCTTCAGCCCTCTGACTAATGCTTTTAGTAACACCACACCTCCTCCTAATTTCCACTCTACAAATTTTCTGCATAATATTTACGCAACACATTGCCCTTAGACATGACATCTCCACTGCCTCCAACCTCCTTCATGCTTCACACACATACAAGAGTGTTGGTACCACTATACTCTCGTACATTCCCTTTGTTGCTTCCATGGATAATGTACTGCTTTAGTTGCCTAGTTTTAATAGCTGCTCATGATTACAGAAGATGCTTTATTTTCTTTTACAGGTACGTAGTTTCAATAACTTTTAAGAAGCTGAAAAGGGCCATCATAAATAAAAGGTTGGGGGACAGCTGGACTCGACCATGCTCACTCAATATAACAAAAAAAGGCACAATACCAAGTCGGACCGAAACGTCGTCGTAAGCTTCTCTCTCACTCAATATGTTTATACTACCTTGAGAATCATTATTTCATAAAGTTTAAACAAGATTAGACAATTGGGAAGAATAAGCAATGAAACCATAGATATAACATGCAAGGCAGTAATGGGTTAAGAGAAATACTGCCTAGTGGTTTAGACATATGATAAGGAGAATGGAGATAAGAGTGACTGATAATCAACTGTCACCAGAGAATGAGCAGGATAAGTACATAAGGAAAAGGTCCCATGTGGACCTATGGAAACACAAGTGACTAGAAAATTATGTCACGGCATGGCTGCCTGGAGGTCTTTCTACCCGCAATTCTGAGGAAAGTTCTCAAAGGACGCTGAAACAAAAGAGGCACAGATATACACTTCAACTTTATACACGTAAATAATAAGGCATTATAAACTCACCGAGAACCAGGACCAGTGTCTGGAAAGTTGCAGGTCAAGGAAAACAGGGCATTTTTCGAATAAGCAGCCTCCAATGGCTTTCTATCTTCAGTGTCAAATATCTGGAAACACGTTCATTTTAATGAGCATCAATAACTGAAGAGAGAATAATAAGTACCAGCACAATGAAAACATTCCATAATGAAATATTCCAGTTTAATGAATTAATAGTAACTTATAACTTGGTACAAATAATATATTATACAGCAGGTGATATATGTGAAGTTTTAGGAAACAACTCGCAATCGCATAATGAAGACGCTTTGTATAATGAAAGTTCTTGCCTCAAGGTACTTATCCTCATCCTTTAACACAAAACTGAATAATTCTGTACTTTCAGATAAACCCTGAAGCTAAAATTTTAATGCACATACGATATACCCTCAATTTAACAGACTAATAATGAGCAAATAGCTGGTAATGGCAATTGTGGAGGGTAGAGATGAGACTGTTTTGCTGTGATAATGCTTTGAAAATACTGTACTGTTAAACACCTGAAAGAGGAACAATTTTATATTTAATCATTAAATATTTAGTACAAACAATGGTTATTATATTGCACCTACAGCATTAAGAGCTGTTCTGATGGTCCTGATGATGAGCAGATTAAGATGTTAGGATAAATTAATAAGAAATAGCAAGGAAAAAGATACAAAAATACTGTGTTGATGCCAATAACCCTTAAATTGTGGGATACCCAAAAATAAAAATTCCTACGTGGGGGTAGATTTAATAAAAAAAAATTCTTCTACAATGAAAGTGTGTATTTTTCTGAATCAAATAAAACTAAAATGAGTGGAATCTGATAAAAACTTATGAGTTTTATAGTGTGATGAAGTGCCTTTTTGTTCTTTATCAAGAATTCCACTGTGGGTTCAGTTGATGTAGGAGCTATGTGGTATGAGATTAATAGGAAATGTAACTTAGAATATTTTCTAGTTTGCTGTACCATACAATATATTTACTACATAAAGGTTGGAGTAATACACTAGGTACAAGCAGGTTAGGTTTTTCTGGAAAGCATTTCCCAATTACTAATAAAATAGTTTTTGAACTGCAAGGTTTTCTGGCTGCACACATTCTGCCCACACCCCAAAAAATTATAACTACAATACAATGTATGTTTTCCAAAAACATGAGAAATCTGTGATAAACAAAACCAAATTTTACCTGATAGTACTGTTCAATAAACTGCAGTACAAGGTCCTTAACATCAGGCAAAATGAAGTATGCAGGAACAGTCTTGGGGATCTTACTCTCATCTTCATCTACTTCGAACCCTATAGGCCTGGGAAGCTGTTGCCTGTCCTGTTTTTATGTGAATGAAAAGATTTGAGAAGTCACAATGACACAAGTCCTACAGCTTCCATATCTCAAGATAAATCCTTTATGAAACCTATCCTTGTACTATGTCCCCAGTTGTATGCTTTTCCTGAGACAGCAGCATTTAAAAAAAAAAAAAAGCCTTAATATATGCAAACACAATCATCTCTACATAAAAAACCACAATTTGCAATGTGTATTCAGCACGAGCTCTGCACTAGTCAACAGATTACATGCCATTTCTTTCTATAGCATTTAATAATTTTCCCTGCCCCCACACACACTCACTTATAGGAACTACTTTCTTCTGCACTGATACTTTTACACCTTCTAGTAATATATCTGGTATTTTGTCTTGTTTTCTTACCCAAACAAAATCCATCATTTTTGCAAGCTTCCACATTTCATCAGTTTGCTACCACCCATCACACTCAAAATTTACTCCCCATTTCCTTTGTTAATTATTATTCATATTTTTCTAATACATACTACCATTCTTTCACTTATCTCCATGCATTTTGAAAGGGATAATTACCTCAAACCTTAACACACATTGTACTAACAATTAATATACTACAGTATAACTGTAAAGAATTACTGTTTGAAAACTCAAACAAGATTAATGCTGCAGTCTCAAATTAAATCACAGATAAAGAACTACAGGAAAAACTGTAAAACAGAGCAAAACCATTAGTGTTACCCCTAACTAGGATACTTCACATAAGTCTCAAAATTTAAATGATAAAAACAGAGTAATGCACTGTAGATGTTACAAGATACAACTTAATGTAACAATCACAATTGCCAAACTCCTTTACAAAAGGCTTGTACAGGTACTCCTTGACTTACAATGGGGTTATATTCCAACAAACCCACAAGTTGAAAATATCACAGGTCAAATATGAATACATATATATATATATATATATATTTTTTTTCAACAAACCGGCCGTATCCCACCAAGGCAGGATGGCCCAAAAAAGAAAAACAAAAGTTTCTCTTTTTAAATTTAGTAATCTATACAGGAGAAGGGGCTACTAGCCCCTTGCTCCTGGCATTTTAGTCACCTCTTACAACACACATGGCTTACGGAGGAAGAATTCTGTTCCATATATGATAAGTAAATAAACAACTGTCACTGAATAAGTAAATTAACAAATAATTACTGTAACTAACTAAATACCAGTATTGGAAAGTAAATGAATAAAAACAAGTTATGGATGAGCTGCCTTCATGCTGGGTAATTATCATAAGTTTCATCTCCAAAGTAAATGCTTTTGCACCGTCAAAAAGTCAAAATAACGTAAATCAAACCATCCTAAGTTGAGGAGCACCTGTATATACTAAAAGAATATCTTACCAAGTACACAACCTTGCTGAAGAACTTCCTCACCGCACTGGGAAAAAAGAAAAACAGGGTGATAATACATTATTTGGCAGGCACCACAAAAATAAATCATGACTAAATATTAGATTGCAAGAATATTTTCATTCATACATAACCTCAACTACAGTCTTACAGATCTTTGATAAGAATGTCCACTAATAACATCTTTTCAAAATATATTAGAATACACTAACACCATAATAAAGACTAAGCTGGAAAAGCGGTATATGGCCAAGACATACCTCACGGCAATTTTTTTTTCCAATTTTAACCATTTTCTTTGGTTAACATTTTCAAAGTATATGTATTAATCAAATTAAACCCCCTTGTTATAAGATTTATATTGAAATTTAATGTATGTGTAGTATTTTGTACTTTCTCTACTGATATTAAATATTTTTAAAAAAATCTTTGAGTTAAAAACCAAGCAATTACATAAAATGAGGTATAAAATTATATTACTATGTAAGACAGTCAAGTATAAGGGAAAGTATAGTATAATTATAAAAGCTTCTGACATATTTATGTAGAGATGACTGCAATGGACTGGATATATTTGTGTACGAGTGTAATTATTGGTCTATATTCGCACAATGCACATAATGATAAAATACACACAAAACATTTTCATAGTTTTATGTGGTAGATCTGTGGTTCTTGTTATATTAAAAGTATTGAAGAAACTGAGCGAGTAGAAAGTAAGTAGCCATCATGCACTAAGTATGGTTGGCCTTCACCTGCTAGTGGAGAGTTTCTTACGCTGACACCTGCAACTAGAGATCTTGGAAGGGTAATTTATTAGACCAGAAACACTTTTCAACTTTGATAAAACAAAAATTTAAGAATAAGAGCTAAATCTGTAATTTTTTTTTTTTTTTTGAAATTATGAATGAAAAAAAAATTGTTCCTGAATATAATTATCAGAAGATAATCTACCAATTCTCAAACATAAAAACATTACAAATTCCCAGGAAGACAAATCATTAAACTTGTTTTAACACTTTCTACACTTACTAAAACAAATAGTGATAAGTTTTCACCAGCCCCCTAAGGTTCCTAAGCACCAGTGGTCATCATTCATCGTCTCAAAACACTGTGAATATAGTACTTTTCCATTTTATTATTGTGATACCTACAGATAACTACACCTAATTTGAATTTGTTTAAAAAATCTAAAAACATAAGAATAATTTAATGCATCAAATATTAATAAAAACTGCTTTGAACTACAATGCCTTGTTGAGCTGGGAAAATGTATTAGCAAAAGTATTTCAAAGTGGGGTCATGTCTCACTGAGTGGTGGGTTTATGTTACTCTGTACATCATTGGTGTGTGGCATTTGCAAAATATGGGTGGGCTCTGAAAAACAGTCTTCTTTGTTCAGTAACAGCACTAGTGACAGTTGTGGCTATTTGAGCTCAACATTTATTGACAGAGTACAGAATTGTCTGTAGCTGGAAAAAAAAATAGCATAACTGCCTACATACTGTAGGTATTCAATATAAATAAAGCTGGATTTCTTTTTAATTTAAGAGCAAAAACAGGACATATATGAGTGGGAAGCTAGTCTGGAACATGTGGTTGTTACCTGAGTATGTGTATTGCTCAGCGGATATAAAGTATGCAGCATTATAATTTATTGGAAACTGGCTACAGTACCTATATACCATAAGTGTTTAATTTAAATTTGAACCCTAAATTCTTAAAAGCCCCACTAATAAAGCAAAATTGTCTGCACAATAAATCTTCTATTAGATTTAGGTTCATTATAGTACCTATGTAGGGCATTGCATGCACTCTGGAGGAGGGGTGTGGATGTTGTGGTTAGATGTGTTATATGACTGTGATGTCATCACACTTTTGGAAAAATGGCAATTGAGTATATGTTGGTACATGTGTTGTCTTCTATTTCAGAGGGAGACAGCCATTGTGTTGAAAAAAAAAAAAATTCAACATGCTGACAGTCTCCCACTGAGGCAGGGTGACCCAAAAACGAAACACTTTCACCATCATTCACACATAATTACTGTCTTTGAAGAGGCTCAGATATGACAGTTTAGATGTCACTCCAAACATCCAATATCTCAAACTCCTCCTTTAAAGTGCAGGCATTGTACTTCCCACCTCCTAGTCTCAAATCTGGCTAATCAATTTCCCTGAATTCCTTCACAAAATCTATTAATATATAACTATAATCTGGTTAATACTGGCAATCATAGAGATCTGAGCACAAGAAAGCTATTGAGCACACTTTTAATGAAACCTCATGGTTAGCTTTCAATTTAGGGGCCGTGTTCCAAGACCCTTCCTCCTTCCCAAAATACAGACACCTTGAGAATACTGAAATTTATTCAGATTATCTATCGGTAAAAACACTGGATAGAGCGGTTAGGGGAGCAATGTGGCAGATCTTACCACCTATATAGAATAGGTCGTAAGTTACTAAATGCTGTAAAGAGATTTTATGAGGATAGTGAGGCTCAGGTTAGGATGTGTAGAAGAGAGGGAGACTACGTCCCGGTAAAAGTAGGTCTTAGACAGGGATGTGTAATGTCACCATGGTTGTTTAATATATTTATAGATAGGGTTGTAAAAGAAGTAAATGCTAGGGTGTTCGGGAGAGGGGCGGGATTAAATTATGGGGAATCAAATACAAAATTGGAATTGAAACAGTTACTTTTTGCTGATGATACTGTGCTTATGGGAGATTTTAAAGAAAAATTGCAAAGGTTAGTGGATGAGTTTGGGAGTGTGTGTAAAGATAGAAAGTTGAAAGTGAACATAGAAAATAGTAAGGTGATGAGGGCATCAAATGATTTAGATAAAGAAAAATTGGATATCAAATTGGGGAGGAGTATGGAAGAAGTGAATGTTTTCAGATACTCGGGAGTTGACATGTTGGCGGATGGATTTATGAAGGATGAGGTTAATCATAGAATTGATGAGGGAAAAAAGGTGAGTGGTGCATTGAGGTGTATGTGGAGTCAAAAAATGTTATCTATGGAGGCAAAGAAGGGAATGTCTGAAAGTATAGTAGTACCAACACTCTTATATGGGTGTGAAGCTTGGGTTGTGAATGCAGCAGCGAGGAGGCGGTTGGGGGCAGTGGAGATGTCCTGTCTAAGGGCAATGTATGGTGTAAATATTATGCAGAAAATTCAGAGTGTGGAGATCAGGAGAAGGTGTGGAGTTAATAAAAGTAACAAATAACAAAAAAAGGCACAATACCGTGACTGGAACGACACACAAATAACCCGCACATAAAAGAGAGAAGCTTACAACGACGTTTCGGTCCGACTTGGACCATTTACAAAGTCAGAGGGCTGAAGAGGGGTTGTTGAGGTGGTTTGGTCATTTAGAGAGAATGGATCAAAGTAGAATGACATGGAGAGCGTTTAAATCTGTAAAAGAAGGAAGGCGGGGTAGGGGTCATCCTCGAAAAGGTTGGAAGGAAGGGGTAAGAGAGGTTTTGTGGGCGAGGGGCTTGGACTTCCAGCAGGCGTGCATGAGCGTGTTCGATAGGAGTGAATGGAGACGAATGGTATCTAGGGCCTGACGATCTGTTGGAGTGTGAGCAGGGTAATATTTAGTGAAGGGATTCAGGGAAACCGGTTATTTTTATATAGCCGGACTTGAGCCCTGGAAATGGGAAGTACAATGCCTGCACTCTAAAGGAGGGGTTCGGGATATTAGCAGTTTGGAGGGATATGTTGTGTATCTTTATACGTACAGTATATGCTTCTAAATTGTTGTGTTCTGAGCACCTCTGCAAAAACAGTGATTCTGTGTGAATGAGGTGAAAGTGTTGAATGACGATGAAAGTATTTTCTTTTTGGGGATTTTCTTTCTTTTTGGGTCACCCTGCCTCGGTGGGAGACGGCCGACTTGTTGAGAAAAAAAAAAACACTGGATTAAAAAAAAAAAATTGGGAACCTTGCAAATCTGAGGGGTATGACTGCACATTGAAATACAGTACATTAGAGTATTTTTTGTAGAACTGTATAAATTTGTACTACATTTGCCAAATGTTAGGTGTAACAGTAGTACAGGTTGGCCATCACTAATCGGGACCTGTAGGGTACCAGATTAGTGATTTTGCCAGATTACAGAGTGGTTAGGTTAGAATAATTTATGCATCGGCGATTTCACCTAATTTACGCCCTATTTTTGGCCCATTCCATTGTTCCAGTCTACCAAACTCACAGCTATTTCACTAGTATTCCAACTGTAGTGCTGGTTTATACAAGCCCTGCACCGAACCTTCTCTTCAGTGCAACTCTTGCAAGAACAGATCTTCCAAGGGTTCTTGCAAGATCTGTTCTTGTTTCTAGTTTGTTATACAAAGTGGCTAGCTGGTTTATTATGCGTTAAAAACTCTTTGACTACATGACAGTTTTTAAGGACCCCAATGGAAATACATATAGATCACTTTGACTTTTTTGGGTTATTCTAGGCTCTTTACATATATGCTGCTATGTATGATAATTTATGTAACTGTATTTGTGTATACCTGAATAAATATAAGAACATAAGAAAGAAGGAACACTGCAACAGGCCTACTGACCCATGCAGAGCAGGTCCATGTCCCCCCCCCAGATTAGCCCAATGACCCACCCAGTCTGGTCACCTCCACTCAAGGATGGAGCACGGCACCAGACCCAGCAGCACAAGCTAGTCAGATCCAACTCACACCCACCCACACCCACTCATGTATTTATCTAACCTATTTTTAAAACTACACAACGTTTTAGCCTGAATAACTGTACTCGGGAGTTTGTTCCACTCATACACAACTCTATTACCAAACCAGTGCTTTCCTATATCCTTCCTGAATCTGAATTTTTCCAACTTGAAACCATTGCTGTGAGTCCTGTCTTGGCTGGAAATTTTCACCACGCTATTTACATCCCCTTTATTTATTCCTGTTTTCCATTTATACACCTCGATCATATCCCCCCTAATTCTACGCCTTTCGAGAGAGTGCAGATTCAGGGCCCTCAGTCTATCCTC